GAGCCCTTTCTTTTCAAAATGGCCACCGCCAAGCATTTGCTGAACATCCTGGGCGCAGCGGCCATGCCAAACGGCAGCACAACAAACTGAGAGTGGCCCCTCCCCACTACGAAGCGCAGGGACGGAGGCGGCTAATGTCACCATTCGGAACCTCGATTTTCTCATGACGGCATTGAGCCCCTCTGGCCCAGGCGGGGGTGAAGGCCTTTCTTTTCAAAATGGCCACCGCCAAGCATTTGCTGAACATCCTGGGCGCAGCGGCCATGCCAAACGGCAGCACAACAAACTGAGAGTGGCCCCTCCCCACTACGAAGCGCAGGGACGGAGGCGGCTAATGTCACCATTCGGAACCTCGATTTTCTCATGACGGCATTGAGCCCCTCTGGCCCAGGCGGGGGTGAAGGCCCTTTTTGGATTTGGGATGAGGAAGCGCCACCTTCCTGGATTTTAAGGGGAGCAGCCAGATAACTGCTGCACCCATGGGGGGGGGAGGGTTGAGCCAAAAGTCTATCCAAGGGGGGTATGTGAAAGCTTATGTTCTACTGAGTCTGTATGTGCATGTGCTATTCGCATTGCCTCATATCTGTACGTGGACCCATCCTGACATAGGATGTAACCAGAGACCTAAGTCAGCAGTTAGAACATCTCTGCTAAGAGCCTGTATCGAGAGCTGGGAGACGCGATGCATGTGATGTATTCTCCTTAACAACCTCACTCTCCCGCTTTTTTCCTTTTAGTAATAAACCTTTAGATTCTAAGGGATTGGCTCAGAGAGATCCAGAGTGTAAACTGACTGGGACTTGTGGCTGGTTTCTTGGGACTGGAAGAACCCCAAGGACCTGCCGGCTCTGCAGACAGGTGGGCGAGAAGAGCAAGGGGAGGAGCAGGGACCCCGGTCACAAGGCCAACAAAGCCGCAAGGGCAGCAGAGACCCAGAGAACAGGGTTTAATTTCAGCGGGAACCAGAGCAGCTTGCCCCAGGGAGACCAGCCAGGGGGGGATGAGAAAGGCCCAGGCACAAGGACGCCTCCCCCACCCAGCGCTGGCTCCTGTTTCCCAGAGACCTCCCCCCACCAGGCACCTGCTCAGACCCCGGCTCCAAGGAGGCCCTGCAACTGGCTGGGCCTTGGCTGCACGGGGCTCAGCTTGGAGCCGGAAGCCCAGGTACCAGCCCTGCTCCTGGCGGGTTCCTCCTCGTGCAGAGTCTTTGCCCAGAACCCGCCGCTGTGATGTAAGCACAGGAGCCACATGGCCGGGGCTAGCCAATCACCGGAGCAGAGCGAGCCCGGGCAGGGCGCTGGCAAAGCCCATGCAGCAGGTTCCCAGGTGGCTGCTGACAGGAAGTGGCTCTATTACCAACAGGAAGTGACCTCATGATCCTGCGCACATGGCTGGATGGAGAGCCCCGATCAAGGAGAGGTTGCCACAGTCAGCCAGGGAGTCGGGGCCAGGGCTGGCACATGGGGCCCCTGCACCCCGCCCAGCCCTTGGGGAGAGTCCTCACTTGCGGCGCCATTTTGTCTTCTCTTTGCCCTTCCCAGCCCTCACGTCCTTCTTCATGCGGCCGTCCACCACCTTGAAGTGCCCCTTGACGCCCGCGGGGCGCCGCACGCGCCGGCCCACCCCCTTCTTGGCCACCAGGTAGGTGACCTCCCGCTTCTCCTTCCCCAGGCCAGCCTTCTTGTAGATGCTGCCGGAGGGGAGGGGAGAGGAGTTAGAAAGCTGCCCGCCAGGCAGGGAGCCGGGCCCAAAGGGCGTGCCCAGGCGCTCCCCGGCCTAACCCCTCCTCCC